GCCCTCCTCCCCCTCCCCCCTTCTCTTCTGCCCTCCCTTCATTCCACAAGTGTTGCTTCGCTGTCTCCAGCGCACTTGGTGAGCTGGAGAGGTGAAGAGCATCCACCGAGCTAGCGGACCCAGGGTGTTGAGTCCGGGGCGGAGGAGAGGCGGGGATAGAGCGACTCTCCTCTGCTCTCCGCCCCCGCCTCCCCCGGTGGCCCGCAGGACCTGCACTTCGCGCTGGCCCCCGCTCGTCCTCCTTCCCCGCCCGGCCCCGGCGCGCTCCTCCCCGGCCGGCCCCCTTCCGAGCGCCCCGCGCCGCCTCCCTGCATGTGCGGCCCGCGGCGGCTCGCAGCCCCCGGCAGCAGCCTCGGCAGCTTCAGCCGCGCGTCCAGAGGCGGCGGCAGCGGCTCCAGCGGCGGCCGAGCGCTCGAGCCCGGGCTGGGAGACACGATGCGCCGAGTCCTCCGGCTGCTCCTCGGTTGCTTCCTTACCGAGCTGTGCGCCCGCGTGTGCCGGGCGCAGGAGCGAGCTGGGCACGGGCAGCTGGCGCAGCTGGGCGGCGTGGTGGTGCTCACGGGGGGCAACCGCTCCGGAGCTGCCTCCGGAGAGGCCGGCGAGGGCGTCGGGGTCTCGGACGCACCGCCGACTCGGGCGCCCACACCAGACTTCTGTCGGGGCTACTTCGATGTGATGGGCCAGTGGGACCCGCCGTTCAACTGCAGCTCGGGCGACTTCATCTTCTGCTGCGGGACTTGTGGCTTCCGGTTCTGCTGCACATTTAAGAAGCGGCGACTGAACCAGAGCACCTGTACCAACTACGACACGCCGCTCTGGCTCAACACGGGCAAGCCCCCCGCCCGCAAGGATGATCCTCTGCACGACCCCACCAAGGACAAGACCAACCTGATCGTCTACATCATCTGCGGGGTGGTGGCTGTCATGGTGCTGGTGGGCATCTTCACCAAGCTGGGGCTAGAGAAAGCGCACCGGCCCCAAAGGGAACACATGTCCAGGTGGGCTACCTCCCTTTCGCCCTCCCCTCGGGGGGTCACTTTCCTTTCTGTCCTGGCTCCCCAGGTTCCACCAGCCATGGCTTCCTCTATTCCAGTCTCTCCGCTGGGGGATGTCACCTGGGACGCCAACTTTGGTTTAGAACACCGAACAGGGGCGCTGGGCTCAGCACAAGTGTGGTGAACAAGTGTGGAAGGGAGGGGGCTCTCTGTCCCCCTCGCCCACCTGCGGTCCCCTCCCACCAGAGATAGTGGCGGGACTTGAGACACACAGCCCCCATCCTTAAACTCCTGGGTTTGGGGGAGATGATTCATCGCACCCCTCCGATTCCAGATGTTAGTCTCTAGGTAAACAGAGGCAGGCGAACCTGGAAGGGAAGGGGGGCGTGTGTGAGCCCGCGTGCGCGCGTGTGTGATGGAGGGAGGGATGGAAGGGGGAAAGGAGTGAGTACCGCCTGCAACTCGTACACTAGCGAAAATGAGGGAAGGAGGGGGAGAGTGTGCGAGGGGAGGGGGAGAACAAAAGCCTCGCTTGGAGCTCTGGCTTTCCCGGAGCTTGGAGGTCCCTGGATTGGAGCCTGGTCTTCGCCCTGGTCCCTTTCCCCAGTCACCACCTCTACTCTGGAGGCTGCAGTCACCACTGCGCTCTGTGCCCTTTGCCCTGGCTCCCAGGCCCCCTCCATCCTCTAAGTACCCAGATTCTTCAACTTTCGCTTTATTCATATGCAAGTCGCAGCAGATGGGATTTAAATGGGGTTTAATGGAGCTATTTGCCTTTTTGTCCCCTCCCCCCTCCAAAGTGTCAAAATTGATTCGTAGAACTCTGTAACTTTGGAGGCTAAGGACGTAGACTTGAGCCCTGGGCCAGCGGAGAGGCAGGGGTTAGTGTGAGGTCTGGGAGGGAGTGATGCCAGGAGACACCAGGGGTCGGTGGACAGCTAACTGTTCTCTGAGTCGGGCTTTGAAGTCTGTGTGTGCTCCCACCCTCCATCCCCCTGCGCCAGGGGCCTGTGTGCTCGCGTGTGTGTGCACGGGCTCCGTGTACATGCCTTAAAAATCTGAACAATGAGACCCACCAAAAATAGGCAAAGGAACATCACCACCTCACTAGTAATTATTTCCTATTTATATGCAGAGTATCCGATGAGTTTTTCTTTTTCCATAGAGAAGGGATTTGAAGGAAAAGGTGGGGAAGTTCTTACTGGGATTTGGGTTAGTGGCGAGATCTAGGTGAACCTGGCTCAGAAACAAGCTCCCCAGGGATTCAGGAAATCCTGAGGAAAAGGGGTAAGGTTCTGGCCCCGCCCACCTCCTGCAACCCTAAGCTGCCCTGTCACCTGCTCCAGCTTCTGGGTGGGTTGTTTCAGGAAAGTCCATGGGGATGAAGTCTTCAGGTCTGTGTTAAGGTGAGGGTGCTGCAGGTCTGTGACAACAAGTGTCACCTTGTAGGCAACAGTTACTTAGAGGTCAGCTCCCTTGCAGACTAGGTTAATTCCTCCTGAAATCCTGAAATCACCCCCCCAACCCATTTCTTTGTTAAATTCTCTTACAGACTTCTACGTGGTTGTTGGTGGGGAGGGAGGTGGGATGAGAAGAACCACCTTTTGTAGGTCTGTGGGAGAAACTGATGCCACAGCTTTAAGCACTCTTGGATCTGGGAATCCTGGTCAAACCACCTGTCCAGTACTTGGGACCCCAGCAGGAAATCCACTGCTGGGTCCTACCCCCCCTCCCAGCTCTTTTTGGGGGTAATGACTCCAGTTCTGCAGAAACCACGAAAGGTCCGTTTGGAGCCAACATCTAGGGGTACTCAGTCTTGGGGTAGCAGTGCCTCAACACAGGCTTTCCCTGTAAACATTTGGGAATTTTAAATACCTTGGAAAGGGAGAGGTGTTGATTATTTTACTGGCAGCCTCTAAGGTATGATTTTCAACCCTGCTAAAGTCTGAGATCATCTTTAAAAAAAAAAAAAAGATCCTGTCACCAGGGGCCCTGTCCTTGGCCCTTGTCTATTTAAATTAGAATATGGAATGGGACCCAAGTGCTAGCCCACTAGAAAAGCTCTGCAGGTGATTCTAATGCCCAGCCAATCACTGTAGAGGGAAAGAATGAACACCTGCTGAGCACAGGGCTGGGCTAAGCACTGCACCTGGTGTATGTGGTATGTACCTGTCTGTGTGTCTCTGTGTGTGTCCTTCTCTCTCTCTCTGTGTAAAAACTCAATTCTCACAGCTACCCTATGAGACAAGTGCTATTTTAACTCCCCATTTATATAGGAGAAAATCATGGCACAGTGAAGGTCTCTGTGCTCAAAGACACAAAACTGAAATTTGCAATTTCTTGTCAGACCGACTCCAACTCATACCCAGATCAGATGTTTTCAGGTCCAGCCTTAGAATCTGAGGCACTTCCCGAGATGAAGATTTGTCAATTCTATCTGCAGAGATTCAGAATCAGTAGGTTTGGAGTGGGCCCTAGACATCTTCTTTTTGACACTTTCCTTAAATGACTGACATGAAGTGGGTACTTTGGGAGGAAAACATTGGTGTTGGGTTTGGGAATATTTCACAGAGGTAGGAGGTGGCTAGTTAATCCAAGACAAAAGGGGGCTGCCAGGGTGACTCCTATTTGCATTCTGTAGCTTGTTTTCTCCACTTGTATAACCTTCTTGTGGTACTTGGGCCGCCCCAGGTACCCTCCAAATGCATCGCAAGCCACTTATGTACTTTATCATTCAGAGCCCTGGTATAACAACTGGCTCATTAGCTTTTGCCTATAGTGCTAAGAAGGGATCATTTGGTGGAGGCCAGTGCACCAAGCTTAGTAGCAAAGAGGTTGTTCTGAGGCAAAGCAGTTTCCCAGTGAAATTAACCTGCCAACCACAGCCTCTTAATTTTTGTCAAGAGCTATACAGGGACAGGACACAGAGATGAGTGTTGTTCTCATTTTGTCTTGGAAGCACCTTGCCAAGGACACCGAGCTGTGCCCCTCCACACACTTTGCCTGGTGACCAGGAAGCTTGTGTTTTCCAGTGGAGGTATGGAAAACATGCATGTCAGAGTGCAGGCTTGGAGTCCTCAGCATATGGCCTGCTTCCTTCTGGGCAGATACGGGCTGAGAAAAGGACAGCTAGCAGAAGTGGAAAGAATGCATGCCATCTTGTAAGGACTATACAAGTGCAGGAGCTGGGAAATGACTCAGAGGTAAGAACATTTGCTATGCAAGCATGAGGACCTCAGTTCAGATCCCCAGCACCCAAGTAAAAGGCCAGACACTGTGGTACGTGTCTGTAACCCCAGTGCTGGGGGATGGAAACAGGTAGCTCCCAGGGGCTCACTGGCCAGCCAGTGATGTCAAAATACCTGATGTCAAAATGTAAGGTGGGGAGAGAGATAAGGGAGGATATGCCAACATTGACCGTTAGCTTCTACATGCCTCATGCACGGGAAAACGCACCCCTCTCCTTTACATGGATGCATACCACACACACACACACACACACACACACACACACACAAACATACACACACACACACAGACACACACACACCTGTGACAGCAGCCACAGGCAACCTCTATTTATTAGAAGTAATTGCAAGTGCTACCTTTGGCCATCAAGCCACCCAGATGGATTTTGTTTTATTTGCAAGGTGTTAGTATTTATGTATTTTATTTTTATTTATTTTTAGCTTTTAATTATGTGTCTATATGTGTGTAAGAGAGAGAAAGAGAAAGAGAGTTGGTATGTGTATGTGAGTGATTTTAAAAGCTTTCAGTGTATTTTGTTTTGGAGACAGGGTCTCACTATGTAGCCCAGGCTAGCTTCCACCACAGCTTCTCAAGGGCTGGGGTTTATAGGTATGTGGCAAAGTTTTTACTGTGACAAAGTTAAACACAAAAACATGAAAGCTAATAAAATAAATTTCAGGACATCTTCTGGATCAGGGTCCATCATCCTGGGTACTGTTGATGCTTGGGCTGGACAATAATCCTTTGTGTTGGGAACTGTCTTGCACATTGTAGGATATTTGGCAGCATCCCTGACTTCTTCCCACTAGATACACAGTAGATGGAACATCCTCACATCTTCCTTGACAGTAGAAAATGTCCCTAACGCCCCCCCCAGAACCACTAATAGAAATTAAACTAGTTTTACTATTTTGTCAAATTTGCTTCATTGTTCTTATGTTCAGATTCTTTTGTCTCCCGTCCCTCCATCCATTCCTTCTCTCTCCCTCTTGTCTTCATTGGTTCCTCTCCTTCTCCCCCTTCCTTTATTCTGTCCCTCTTTTAAAACCCTCCTTCCCTATCTTCCTTCCTTCCTTTCCTCCCTTCCCTTCTGTCCCCCGTCCCCCAGCTGAACCATTTGAAACTAAGTTGCAGACACAGCATTCCTTCCTTCAGCACCTGCAGTGCAGGTCTCCTACGAACAAAAATATTCTCCATTTTCTCCAATACAATACAATTCTAACATCATAACCGAGAGAGAGAGAGAGAGAGAGAGAGAGAGAGAGAGAGAGAACAAAAATTCCACGCTATCTTCAGCTGTCAAAGCATATTAAACTCTCCTCGTCATACCCAGAATGTCCTTCAGAGCTTGGCTTTTCACGTCTGAATCTGGTCAAGGGGCATTGTATTTGACTGTGAAATCTCTTTAACTTCTAATATGTGTGGCATTTTAAAACTAACATCAGGTCAGTTTTCAGCATTTAAAAACTGGGAAATTTCTCAGAGAACTCCAATTTGTAGTTCCTCTTGCAGATTCCATAGGTCTAGTGACAGTGCATCTGCATTTTTGACATAGCAGCTATTGGTTGTGTCTGGATAGTAGCTGTCCCTTTCAGGTAGCTCTTGAGTTTATCTTAGTCACCCTCTTAATTCACTCACTTATGTCACCTGTAGACCCTAGAGAGCCAGCAGGCTGTTCTGAATGGCACAGGCTCCCATTAGACCCGGCTAAGTCGCTTAATAACTGTGTGACCTTGGGAAGATTGCTACACCTG